GAGTGGCGGGACATAGTAGAGTTCGATGAGTGGCGGGACATAGTAGAGTTCGACGAGTGGCGGGACATAGTAGAGTTCGATTAGTGGCGGGACATAGTAGAGTTCGATGAGTGGCGGGAAATAGTAGAGTTCGACGAGTGGCGGGACATAGTACAGTTCGATGAATGGCGGGAAAGAAGAGTTCGATGAGTGGCGGGACAGAGTTCGATGAGTGGCGGGACATAGTTCGATGAGTGGCGGGACATAGGAGAGTTCGGGAAGTAGGAGAGTTCGATGTGTGGCGTGACAGAGTTCGACGAGGGGCGGGACATAGGAGAGTTCGGTGTGTGGCGGGAAGTAGGAGAGTCCGATCTGTGGCGGGACATAGGAGAGTTCGATGTTGTGGCGGGACATAGGGGAGTTGGATATGTGGCGGGACGTAGGAGTTCGATATGTGGCGGGAAATAAGATATCGCTGTGTGGCGGGACATAGAAGAGTTGTATATGTGGCGGGAAATAGGAGAGTTGGATATGTGGCGGGAAATAGGGGAGTTGGATATGTGGCGGGAATGTTTAGTATATAGACTCTCACCGTACGAATGTCGGGCAAAGCCGCGGAGATGGAAGATGGCGAAGTTGCGTCTATCGGCATTGACACACCGTCAAGCAAAAGATCTGCACTTGTGCTCTTCAGGAGTGCGCAGCATTTGCATGGGAGTGCCCAGAGCTAGCTGTGTGGACTTGCACGATTGTCTTGCTTACGGGGCATGTCAAGAATGGGGAGGAGGTTGAGAACGCGGTGAAAGTGGATGAAACCGTAGATTGAGGGCGAAAATGCGAGGGGCATGGGAAAAGTCCTGAGAAGCAGGCACGCAAGACTTCCAGAACACGTAGTTTTTTTTTTTTTTTTTTGAAAATGGTCACAATTTACCACGAGGCATTTGATTTTGACGTTCCTGGCCGCAATTTCGGCGTGTTCTGAACCGAAATCGTCATGTCTTCCTGGCGGGAACCCGGGTCGAGGTCCCGCTAGTAGGATGGGATTGAACGCCTGAATGTAGACGCGTTTGTGGAAAGGTGCAGAAATTTGTGATTGAACTGCTTTTCTGCATCTCTGCTTTTAAACACGTTGAGATTCAGGAGCTGACCCCTATCCGCTTTGCTAAAGGGACCTCACCCTCTGGTGAACCCCGGTGGTTTCGGTTCAGAAAACGGCGAAATTGCGAATAGGAACGTCAAAGATAGATGCCCAAAGGAGTATTAGTCAAAATATAGTGAAAAACAGCTGCAATGCGACTGCGAGGTCCCAGATTCGCTCTCGTTCGTCCGTGGCAACGAGTGCTGCCGCACGGCACACGAAACGAAAAACGAATCGAATGAATCTTCCCACAGAAATGGCCAGGGTCATCGCTTTGCTATAAATGGTAACGAGTGTATTTTGCCAGCTTTGTTGGGCAGATGCACTCGTTTCGTTTTCGTTTTGTGCGCCATGCGGCGAGACCCAACGAGTGTCTTAGGAAGGCCGCGCTTTTGTGGAAACAGGGAGGACTGCATACCCGTTTTTCACTGCCTTTGGGCCTCGCTCCACTTCTCTCCACATGAACCAAAGACAAAAGATATGGCGTTGTATCTTTCCGTGCTCTAGTGGAAGATTCATTCTCATTTTGCACATTTGGAGAGTCAGTCTAGCGAGGTCTTTTGACTTGAATACTTTTTTTCTCCCTTTTTTCCCCTTTAATTAGACTGCTGCTGGAATGGGGGCTTCTTTGTGTAATAAGTGCTTAATATAATATAATAATACGACTTAGGCTGTAATTTGTTTAATAAGTGTATAATATTAGTAATACGACCAGGGGGAGCATCAAAGCTGTAGTAGTTAAATGCCTTGGCGGGTAATTGCATTGTAAAAGATGCAAGTAGATCTGCGTGGCTCATCGGGATCGGGATCATAAATCTGTTTTGTGAGTACGGAACTGAACAGGCTGTGTGTTAGCCATGTAGGAGGTGTGGTTGCCTCAGCCTCGCATTCGATAAAGAGGGTTTTTGATGTATATGTTTGACAGTTCGACTGCTTGTATCCACCCCATACTGAGTGAACGACCGGTAGCTCCGGCTCTTACCAACCCGTATATCCTTGTCTCCCTCTCTCTGCCTCTCTCTTCCCCTCTCCGTCTCTCGTTCTCTCGCTGGTTCTAGCTGTGTACGAGATTTTTAACGCCGTTTCATCTTCTGCCTATGTTTTCCCTCTCCCTCTCTCTGCCTCTCCCTCTCCCTCTCTCTGCCTCTCCCGCTCCCTCTCTCTCTCCCCCTCGTTCTATCACTTTCGCTTTCTCGCTCTCAGTCGCTCGTTTCTCGCTCTCCTTCTCTCTCTCTGTTCATGCGGAACTGTTTTTCTAGACTGCGGCGTTTCACCAACACTTGCCGCACAAAGTTGTACGATATTTTGGGTGCAAGTTCCCCTGCTTGTTATCGCCGCGTCAGTTGCTGCCTGTGGTCTCGGTACCTCCCTCCCTCTCGGTGTCAATGTGAACTGCATCGTCACGTGCACGCCTTTTCCTTGTCTCGACGCGCACTTCTTCTCTTGCAGAGCTTGCAGACTGATCATCGGAAAGGCGGAGCAAGTAGGGATGATGATTGTTAACAGAGTTATTTGCCCCCGCGGTGACCCGACAGTGATTGATGTTCGTTGTCGGATCGTAGGTGGTGATTGCGTTACGACAGTGATTGCCTGAATGTAGACGCGTTTGTGGAAAGGTGCAGAAATTCGTGATTGAACTGCTAAATACTGAAGTGGTTTGCAGCAGTCTGATGGGATTGAGCGAGGGGTTGATGACGGGTAATTGGGTTAAACTGAAGGTGCTTGGGATTTGACGCGCGGGAATGATGAAGCTCCTTTATTTGAGAAAAATGAGAGGAGTGCCTGAGCTCGTTTTGCGGGGAAAAGATTGGCTCCAAAAAAATGCCGCTAGAAGTTGGGGACTTGTAGGATTTGCCGCCAAAACTAGAAACGTCGTTTTCGAATTTGCCGCCTAAAAACTTGGGGGCTCGGGATTTGCCGCTCAAACCTTGAGCAAGGTTCTTGTGCGAATTTGCCGCTAGAACTTGGAGACTTGTAGAATTTGGCGCCAAAACTTGGCGGTTGTTTTCGAATTGGGCGCGAAGACGTGATGGTGGTTCGCGGATTTGCCGCAAAAACTCGCAGATGTTTGAATACTCCATGCGTCAGGGAGAGCAACGGAGAGGACTAAAGGGGAGGACTGCAGGGGAGGACTAAAAGGGAGGAGAGAACAACGATAGGGGGGGTATCGAGCAGATAGAGTGAATGACTGATCCGTCAGTTTTTTTTTTTTTTTGGCGACGACGATTTTGTTTCTTGGGTGATTGATTATATGATTCTTTTCGTCTTTTGGTGTGAGAGATTGCTATTAGTTTTTCGATCGCTAAGGAGGAGCTGCAACAGCTGTGGAAACCGGTGGCGAGGTCGACCAGCAAAGTGGATTGGATTTGGCGCCTGAATCTTGACGTGTATGCGGAGAGGTCGCGTTTGATTTGTTTTTCTGCATCTCTGCGCAAAGTACATCCAGATTCAGGCGGTTTGTTTGATCCTGTTTGTGGCGAGGTCCTCTAGGAAAGTGTATTGGATTTGGCGCCTGAATCTGGACGTGTATGTGGAGAGTTGCAGAAAATCGCCTTTGATCTGCTGTTCTGCATCTCTGCGTAAAATACATCCAGATTCAGGCGGTTTGTTTGATCATATTTGTGGCGAGGTCCAATAGCAAAGTGAATTGGATCTGGCACCTGAATCTGGACGTGTCTGGAGAGGTGTATAGAATCGCGTTTGATCTGCTTTTTTGCATATGTGCGTAAAAGACATCCAGATCCATGCGGGTTGTTTTTGATCCTTTGATCCTATTTGCGGCGAGGTCTACTAGCGAAGTGGATTGGATTTAACACCTGAATCTGTACGTGTCTGGGAGAGGTGCAGAAAATCGCGTTTGATCTACTTTTCTTTCTCTCCCCATTAAATACATCCAGATTCAGGCCGTCTGTTTGATCCTGTTTGGACCTCGTCTCTGGTCCATCATCCCTTTAAACTCTGAATAAAAATTCACCGCCTGAATTCGGATTGTAAGCCGTGCGAACAAGTAGAACAGCCTGATCCTCCCAACGAGTTCTAAGATCGTTCTTAGAAACTTCCCACTTCTTGTACGATCCTGTCCTGGAAGCATGGTACTCCCAATAAGTGGACGCTTTTCGTTCTTCCCAAGTTTCGCCGGAATACGAGTTGCTTCTCATTCAAATTGTCGTTCGACTATGGAGTCTCGAAGCATTATGTCTGTATCTGGGCTTAAAAGTTGCACCAAGTACAGCTATTTCAAATTGTCCTTTGACTATGTCTCGAAGCATTATGTCCGTATCTGGACTTAAAAGTTGGACCAAGTACAGCTATTTCGAATTGTCATTTGACTATGGCGTCTCGAAGCATTATAGCTGTATCTGGACTTAAAGTTGCTCTAAGTACAGCTATAATGACTGGGTGTTCTATTCGGGGGTGAAGACGGTAGTCTGCTTTCTGGATTGTCTTGCTATTATAATGCCTTTTTCTTCTTTTTCAATTTGTACTTATTTTGAAATCCGGGGTGGTATGCTGCTTTCTGCATCGTTTTCCGTGTTTATTTTCTATTGGGGGGTGAAATTCAATTGCCCGAAAAAAAAAACAATCTTTTTTTTATGCGTACTTATGGAAATCCATGGTGAAAAATTAATTTGCACAAAAATAAAAGTATTCTTTTTAATGCCTTTTTTTTGGGACTATATAGTATACAATATATTCTCAATGCCTTCTTATTTGGAGATCTGTTGTGAAAGGTAGCTATGCTTGCAGGGGTCCCCTGTATAGGCTCACGAGTAGAGTAAGGTTAGGTAGTGAATAAAAAGGAAAGGGGATTGAAAGAAAAAAAAAAGGGCACAAGAAATCGATTGATGCTTTTCTTTGTAATGCCTTTCTTTTGTTTGAACTACACTTTATCATTCTTAATACCTTGTTATTTGGATATCTGTGGTGGAAGTAATTTGCAAAAAAAAAAAAATCCTTTGATCTTATGGGGCATGTGTAATTGCTGCTACGCAGGTCTTGCACATGGATAGGAATGATTACTACGGGGGAGAATCTGCTTCGCTGACTTTGAATCAGGTGCCATTTCTCTCCTCTCCTTCCCTTTTCGCCCCTGCCCTCACCGTCCTCCACGTGTTTGCCTTCTCCTATCTTTCCTCTCCCCTCCCCTTTTCACCACTTCCACCCTTGACTTTGAATCAGGTGCAATTTCTCTCCTCTCCTCCCTTCCTCTCCCTGTCCTCCACGTTTTTTTGGTCTCCTATAGGTCCTTTCTCCTCCCCCTTTCMCCCCCCCCCCCGGTAACTGTTCTCCACGTTTTTTGCCCTCTGCTACCCTCTTCACGCGAATAGAACACATGGACGGAAGACAGGAATGATGACTAGGGGGAATAATCTCCTTCGCTGACGTTGAATCAGGTCCAAGTTCTCTCCTCTCCTCCTTTGTTCTCCCCTCTCCTGCCAGTTCTCCATCCTTTCGCCCTTTTCGTTTCTTTTCTTTTTTAAAAAGGGAGACGGCCATGAAATATCATCACCGAACTGACCGGCCCTACCTTCTTCCCCCGAATACAACGTACGGTCATTATAGCTGTGTTCGGGGTATCTTTGTCTAAATAAATCTATAATGACCGTACCTTGGCCCTACCTTATTCCGCCGAATTCGACGTACGGTCATTATAACTATAACTAGAGTGACCGTACGTTGGCCCTACCTTCTTACCCCGAATGCAACGTACGGTCATTATAACTGTGTTTGGGGTATTTTTCAGTCTAACTATAACTGTAGTGACCGTACGTTGGCCCTACCTTCTTACCCCGAATACAACGAACGGGCATTATAGCTGTGTTTGGCGTACCTTTCAGTCTAAATACAACTATAATGACCGTACGTTGTATGCAGTCTAAATACAACTATAATAACCGTATGTAGTATTCGGGTAGTATTCGGGGGAAGAAGGTAGGTACTTAAGAAAACTGTGGTATTTTACTCGTCTGCATCCGGTCGAGCCCGAACTCACGTCTGTATTTCAACGCGACCGAACTCACGTCTGTATTTCAACAGTTCAGGGGTTTGCCGCCTGAACTAGGCTAGTTGGCCTTCCCCCTCCTCCCGTCGTCATTTGAAGGCGACGGCGTTGAGATATCATGATATCATCACCAAACTGACCGGCAGTAGGGAATTCCGAATTAGAGTACTAGTACTATTTAGTATTTACTCATCTGCATCTGGCGGAGTTCGAACTCAGGTCTGTATTTCAACGAGGGTGGAGAGTGTGAAGCTGCCTGCTGGCAGACCTGTGAGTAGTTGTGTCCCTGTTGATGTGTCAAAGTTGATGTCAAAGTTGATGTCAAAGTTGATGTCAAAGTTGATGTCAAAGTTTGATGTCAAAGTTGAGTTGATGTCAAAAGTTGATGTCAAAAGTTGATGTCAAAGTTGAGTTGATGTCAAAAGTTGATGTCAAAGTTGAGTTGATGTTAAATTTGATGTCAAAGTTGATGTCGAAAGTTGAATTGATGTCAAAGTTGTTGATGTCAAAGTTGATGATGTCTTATGTCAAAGTTGAGTTGATGTCGAAAGTTGATGATGAGTTGATGACAAAAGTTGATGTCAAAGTTGAGTTGATGTCAAAAGTTGATGTCAAAGTTGATGTCAAAGTTGAGTTGATGTCCAAAGTTGATGTCAAAAGTTGATGTCAAAGTTGAGTTGATGTTAAATTTGATGTCAAAGTTGATGTCGAAAGTTGAGTTGATGTCAAAGTTGATGATGTCGGAGTTGATGTCGAAGTTGATGTCAAAGTTGTTGATGTCAAAGTTGATGATGTCGAATGTCAAAGTTGAGTTGATGTCGAAAGTTGATGATGAGTTGATGTCAAAGTTGATGTCGAATGTCAAAGTTGAGTTGATGTCGAAAGTTGATGATGTCGAAGTCAAATTTGATGTCCAAGCTGATGTCAAATTTGATGTCAAATTTGTGGTCGTCCAGGTCGTTGTACTCGAGTAGCGAATGGGATGCGTGTATCAAAATTTAGAACTTGTTGACATTTCTAGAAAAATGTTTGGCAAACATAAATTTGAAGATGTACTGAACATTTTTTCGATGGCTTGGGAAAAAAAAACACGGCCGGTGTTTCACCGAAATTATAAGCGGTTAAACTGAGACGGAAAAAAGCGAACAAATAAATTTGATACTCTTTCGATAGCTTGGAAAAAAAAAAAAACCGAGGCCGGTGAATTTTCACCAAAATTATAAGCGGTCAAACTGAGACGGAAAAAAAACGTTGTTTTGATGGTTCGAAACACAAAAAAACAGGCGGGTGAATTTCACGGACGTTTTTTACGAAGGGTTAAAAATGAATTTTCACAAAATTTACAAGCGGTTTAAAATTTTCACAAATTTACAAGCGGCTAAATTGTTGGCCTTTCACGAACGTCTATTAACCGCTTGTTAAGAAACTTCTAACTTATAAGATTCCAACTGGCTTGCTTGTTGGTGTGGGTAGGCTTCCGGATGGATGAGCTTCCTTCGTGTGTGAGGTTGGTGAGAGTTAAAACTGTCTGCTGACGTAGAATGTTTTTTTCGTTTGCATGCGGTTTCATCTTTTGTTTTTTTTTGGTTTTGTTATTTGTGAGCACAGCTGTGGCAGAAGTTCCACGGAACAGAGAAGCCGCCTGCAGCACTCGGATCCAACCGGGATTACAACGTGGACATGATTCCTAAGGTAATTATTTCGTACGTGAAGGACCATTGGCTATCTGCACATTGGCTTGTTGGGGAGAAAGGGATGTGGAAGTAGGGGGAGTAAAGGCTGTAATTGGTGGAGAGAAAGGGATGTGGAAGTAGGGGGAGTAAAGGCTGTAATTGGTGGAATCTAATTGAGCCCCTGTGGTCGTCTTCAGGCCTACCGAAACATTGTTGTGGGAGAAAAAGGGGCCATATTCAGGCCTACCTAAACGTTTCTGTAGGAGGAAAGGGGGCTGTAAAAGTAGGGGGTCTTAAGGCTGTTATTGGTCTCATTTAATTGTGCCCTTCTCGGTCATCTTCAGGTCTACTTAAGTGTTCTTGGGGGGGGGGGGTGTAAATGGGCCATCTGCAGGCCTACCTAAAATTTCTCGTGGCAGAGGTCTACCTAAGTGTTCAGGCCTACCTAAAATTTTTCGTGGCAGAAAAGGGTGGGAGGTGCAGAAGTCGGTCGGGGGAATAAGGCTGTTATTGGTCTCATCTAATTGTGCCCAGATCATCTTCAGGGGAATGCGAAAGTAGGGGGAGTAACGCTGTTTTTCTGTCTCATCTAAATGTGCCCTCCTTAGCCATCTTCAGGCCTACCTGACGGTCAGCGTTCCAGGATGACTCTTGTCCCTCTATCACTCCTTGGGCCAGGTAGCATCTTCAGGCCTACCTGACGGTCAGCGTTCCAGGATGACTCTTGTCCCTCCTATCACTCCTTGGGCCAGGTGGAGAGTACGAGTGTGAAGAGGGAGACAATTTCAACACGCGGATCTGTGTGCGAAAAGGAGTAGGTGGCCTGAAGGCAGCGGTTGTGTGCTACTTCAGGATTATGTGTGTACGTTGGACGCTACAGCGCTGCAGGGGTGGGGTGGACATCACTACCGGTACGATTGCACTTCTGAACAGTGTTGGAACTAGTTGATTAATAGACTTGGTTCCTGTGGCTGAGGGTGGTGGTTGGAGGCCGCGCGTGTGCGGTGGGGCCTGAAGCCGTAAACCACGGAGCAGTAGTCCGTGTGTTAAATGGAGAGAAGGGAGAGCAATCACAGAGGGTGGTTGCCAGAGATACGACGAGAAGTGGAAGCTTTTTCAACATCGATGTAAGCGATGATTAATCGTGCTCTTTTGTTGCGTTTGTGCTGTTATGCAGTTCATGATGGCCAATGGCCAGCTTGTGAGGGTTCTCATTCACACCGATGTGACTAAGTATTTGTCATTCAAGGCCGTGGACGGAAGCTATGTCCTGAAGCAGAACAAGGTGAGTCAGCACTTTTTTAGCATTGGTTTTTTTTTTTTTTTTTTTTTTGTTAATTTTAAACATAACTGCCTGTCTTGTGCATCAGCTGTGGAGACGGTCCCTGTTCGTTTTGGTGGACGCCAAAATGAAATGCCGGCTGGTGGTGAAATTGCTAACTGCCCCCGCCTTTGGCCCTTATCCCCCCTGCGCCCTATTGGGGCTGGTTGGCCCCCCTTCCCAGAAGAATGTGGTCATGGGTAGTGCTCCCACTTTTCCCAACAATGTGGAAGGCAGTGGCGGTTCGAAATGGTGACGTCCTCGAGATATCATAATGGAACTGGCCGGCACTATAGGGGTAATTCAGAATTATGGTATTTCACTCATCTGCTTCCACTGGAGTTAGGGGGGTCTGTATTTCAACAGTTCAGGGGTGTACCAACTGAGCTAGGGCAGTTGGTACCACTGGAGTTAGGGGGGTCTGTATTTCAACAGTTCAGGGATGCGCCAACGGAGCTAGGGCAGTTGGTACTTGCACTCTTTTAAATGTGATCTGACCACAGTTACAGCCACGCGTGGATGTACCTGACCGCAATTACAGCCAGAAATAAGTAAAAAAGTCCTAGTGTGAGTACGCCCTTAACTTGACTTCTGCGGTGTGAACACTAGGGTTGGTGTATTAGTCATCTGCATCTGCCATCCGGCGGAAGTTTGAACTCAGGTCTGTATTTCAACAGTTCAGTCCAGGGGGGGTGTACCAACTGAGCTAGGTCAGTTGGTTTGCATCGGTTGTATTTAGTGCCACTAGTGCTTTTCTCCTTTGGTTATTTGCTATATGGTAGGTTTCGTTTTTGCTTTTTTGCTTCTCATCTTTATTTTGGTGGATGCTTTTTTTTTTTTTTTTTTTTTTTTCTCTGAAACTGGAGCTCGCTTTGTAAACGCACATTACTGAAGACCTGGCCTGCCTTTAAAAAAAAAGAAGAAAAAAGATCTCGTCTTACCACTCGCCATGTGTGACAGACAAAAACTACGGCGGGTCCATATTTCTGAGTTATACAGGATGTTACATCTTCAATCTGCACATTTTGGGATTAGTGCGGCGAGGCCTTGAGGCGGAGGGGCTAGTTGCACCGCTGACCGTCTGCCAAGATTGAGAATGTACCTGTTCATAACTGTGTTCAGATGCATTCAATTTTTTGGCGGATGGCGAGTTGCTGCAATTAGGCCATGATGACGCCGGCCAAGATTGATAATGTACCTGATCATAATTGTGTCCGGATGCATTTAATTTTTTGGCGGACGGTGAGTTGCTCCAATTAGGCCATAATGACGTCTGCCAAGATTGAAAATGTACCTGGTCGTAACTGTGTCCAGATGCATTCAGTTTTTTGGTGGACGGTGAGTTGCTCCAATTAGGCCATAATGACGTCTGCCAAGATTGAGAATGTACCTGGTCATAACTGTATTCAATTTTTTGGCGGATAGCGAGTTGCTGCAATTAGGCTATAACGACGTCTGCCAAGATTGAGAATGTACCTGGTCACATCTGTTGTCTAGATGCATTCAATTTCTTGGCGGATGGCGAGTGCTGGTCATAAATGTGTCCAGATGCATTCAATTTTTTAGCGGATGGCGAGTGCTGCAATTAGGCCATAATGACAATTGGATCAACAAGTGGGGTGGAAAGAGTTGGGCATCGTACGTTTTTTGTGCTTTTCTGAAAATTGGGGACCTTGGGATATTATCAATGGCCTGAGGTAATTTAGAATCTGATTGCATCAGGAGTCGAACTTGGGTCTGTATATCAAGAGGTCATGGGCTGTACCAACTGGCTAGGCCCGTTGGTTTTGGCACTCTTTTCCCTTGAAGTAATCGCTGGACTTCCCCTTGTGTATAGATCTTGCTCAACCTCACGATGTTCTAAATGTATCTTGATTGGATCTCGCCCCGGCACACACACAAACGTTCTAAATGCTTCTGGACTGAGCAGATGCGTTCAGACTGACCAAAATTTTATGTAACTTGAGCCAATATCAGGTCCAGATACATTGGAATCTTTGGTAGTGGAAGGGGGAATGTTCTGTAGTGGAACGGCTTTGGAAACTTCCTGAAAGAAGTGGGGTGCTCTCCGAAATCAGTTTAAAAAAAACTGAGGACTCGATGCATTCTTTTCTTTTGGTGGACCATGGAACAGATGTCAAACTGATCTGAAGAGATACTACACTAGATCTTAGATCTTTCTTGATATAAAGGCTGAGAAAGGTATGGAATTGATGCCTGATTGCGTTGAGAAAGCGAGAGAGAGAGAGAGAGAGAGGTAGGTTTTGGTTGTAAGTGCTCACTCCGGAATTGATGCCTGATTGCATTGAGAAAGTGGTTTTCGATAGTCAGTCTTTCGGGACATGCGTTAAAATTGGAACGATACACAGAAGATTAACATGGCCCCTGCGCAAGGATGAAACCCATAAATCGAGAAATGGTTTTCGATAGTCTGACAGGTGGTGGTTGGTTTGCGTTGTTTCCTGGACAGATCTACAAAGTGCCGGCCACTGATGTGGAGGCATTGAAATCCCCCTTGATGGGAATGTTTGAGAAGAGGCGGGCTCGGAAGTTCTTTTGCTTTGTGCAGGACTACGACGAGGCAGATCCCAAGTCACACGAGGGACTGGACGTCACCAAGACGACGTCGAGGGAGCTTTTTGCGTAAGCTCTATGCACCGATTGTGACCTTTGCGGGGTTGATTTGACATGTCTTAGAGCTACATGGAGCAGTTTCCTAGGCCATATACTGGTGGTACTGGGGGCATGAACTGGTTTCTATGTACGAATCTATTTTTTTATTTTATTTTTTTCGGCCTTGGACCTGATGTAGGGGTGGGTAAGGGCCGAGACTCCTACATAGGGGTGGGTAAGGGCAGAGACTCCTACATAGGGTGTAAGGGCAGAGACTCCTACATCGGGTCCATTCTGTGTGCTATCTTCGATGGGTGGGCTAAGGGAACACTACAACCATGCGGGCTATTGCGTTATGTCGAGTTTCTGATGTGGCTTTGTGAAGAGTTGGCTTGATTCTGGACGGCTTGTCCAAGTGTTGATTCTTCTGGTCTGGCAAAGGTGGCTTGTTGTTTGGAGGCTTTTTTTTTTTTTTTTTTTTTTTTTTTTTTTTTTTTTTTTTTTTTTTTTTTTTTTTTTTTTTTTTTTTTTTTTTTTTTTTTTTTTTTTCTCGGGGGCCTGGGAGGCAGAGCGTGTCCTAATATTTGATGGCTTGTGCGAGTGCTGTTTCTTCTGGTCTGGCGAAGGTGGGTTGGTGTTTGGCCGATTTTGTTGGGGGGGAGGTGAGCGAGGGTGGGTCTGTTGTTCTGACAGGGCGGAAGTGCAAATAGTCAAGGGCTTCACGAGGCAAGTGAAATGCTGGCAACGCCAGATGTTGCTTGATGACGCAATGACTTGAGTGCAAGCAAAATGAGGGGATAGAGCATACAATGTTGGGTCGTTTGTTTGGGTCGTTTGTTTCCTTTGGTTTCCTAGCTTGCTTTCCTTTCCTTTTCTTCTTTTGCTTGAGGATCTTTCTGCTTATTGCGAGTGTGACGTTGTTGTGTCTGTCAGGAAATATGGATTGGAGGAGAATACGATCGAGTTTATTGGCCATGCTCTTGCGCTGCACAGAGATAATTCGTTTTTGGACGAGCCAGCTCTGGACACAGTGAAGAGAATAAAGGTGGGTGCTTTTGTGCGTGCGTGCGTTTGCATGTCTGTGCACGTGTATCCGGAAGGGCCCTCTGCTAAAGTTCTGGAGGATCACGCCCCCCGGTTGCCCCTATGATTGATTTGTTTAAAGCACCAGTACGTGGCCCCTAACCAAGTTGAGAGTCCAATTGAGCCTCTGCTAAGACTCTGGAGGCTCACGCCCCACGGTCTTCGGAAGGGGCCTGTGGCCGATGGATGGCATCTACTGGTGGTTTAAGATAAATGTGACCTTTTGAGACAGCATTCATTACAAACGTATCGAAAAAACCAGATGTGCCAAGTGCCCAAGCAGTTGTACACAGTTCATATAAAAAAATCCGACTTTATAAAGCTGGAGTAACAAAGCGCACGCAAAGTGGTAGTGTAGTGTAGTGAGTGCTTTGCTTCGATGTAAATATTCTCGCTGTTTGAGCAGGTACATGGGGTTTAATCAGCTTTTTAATGGCAGGGGTCATTAATTGGGGATTAGTGGAAGGGGTTAGTAAATGGGGATTTATGGGAGGGGTTAGTCCTTGTGGGTAGGAGGTATGGATGGAATCTGTGTGCATCTTCTTGTGAAGTTGCAGAGTAGCTTGTGGATCTCTGAGGGCATTCTCACGGTAGCACTTTTTTTTATTTATTTCTGCACGGAATTGTGGCGTGATGCAATGCAGGTCCGGCTGTGAATGCGGCCAGGCACGTTTAAGATTGTGCTAGTTTGAGTACTCCCTTACACGCAAAAACCAGGGCATTGGTTTTTGATACGGTAAGGTGTCGAGTTATGGCCACGGCATTGGTTTTTGATACGGAAATGCAAAGGTTTCAAATCTTTTCAGTCTAGCGGAGGATTCCAATGTAGTTGTTTGTTTCGAAAGCTGAGGTACGTAGGGTGTGCTCACACATCGGTGGCATAGCAGCAAAATCTGTGAATTTTGCCATCTCGATTTCGCTGGAATGCCACCCCGCCCGGTCACATGGGGGCAGCGAATCACAAACGACATGAGCTGGACTTTCTGGCAATTGCCAAAATGGTGCCTTGTGTGGTCACACAGCGCGAGCCGCAAATTTTTTAGCCCTTTCTTTCTTTTCGACGAAGTAGGTTTCAAATTTCCTTTCACGAACTCTCGAACTGAAAAAAAGAAATTGCTACCACCACCTCCAGAGGTTGTAGCACAAAATGCCCTTCCTCGTGGCCGGAGAGGCCGCTGACATTTGATACACCCTTTGCCGCTTTCCCTGCCTCGTGCGACTGGCCCAACCATCACATTCTAGCTGTTTTTTTAACCATAAAAGGCCCTAGCGTGAGTAGGACCTAGGCATCTTTGGAAGCCTCCAAAAAGATTCTGAAACCTTTGACGATCTTTATCTTGTGGATTGGATGCGCTTTTGTGCTGAGTGTTTTGAGAGTGCTATCGTGGCTACGGCAAGTAATACCGTCGTGTTGCATTGTGTCTTGCAGCTGTATGCAGAGTCACTCGCACGTTTTGGAGGCGGGTCGCCGTACATCTATCCTCTGTATGGGCTCGGAGAACTGCCGCAGGTGAGTGAGCAGAGGAGAGACTTGCTGAGTTCATTTCTTGCAGTTACCTATGCCAGATGTTAAAGGTCTGTCTACCTGATTGTAGCGTATCCCCCTTTTATTGGCGTTTTTGTGTGTAAACATATTTTGCCAGCACTGTTTTTTGGGTGTTTTGACCTGAGGTATTCACGGATGGCGTGTTCCATTTGATGGATTGGACTTCTCAGGTGTCCGGATCGCTTCCGTTTTGTGTTCATTTTGTTTATGCTTGAAGTGGATGTTGTTCACATGCCTGTGGTCATACATGTTGGCCCCCGGATTGGGAATTCAAGCGTCCGCCTCTCCTAGGCCGTTCTGTCAGCCGCAGGTTTTTAGTGTGCTGTGTATGCGGTTACAAACTGTTTTCTGTCTTTTGGACTCAGTGTCGTGTTGGCGTGTGGTGGTGGTGATGTGTTTCAGGCATTTGCTCGCTTGAGTGCTGTCTATGGTGGAACGTACATGCTCTCTAAGCCAGAGTGCAAGGTATGTCTACATTCTTGGTATCAATCAGGCCATCACTGTTACTAAATCAATCAAATGGCGCTTGTAGATTATGTTAACCGTAGGATGGGGAAGTCTCATGTACGGATCGGAAGCCGAGTAGTACCTGTTCAGAAGCGTTCGATTGCAGTACAATTACGGAAAACTCTTTCAGAAGCGGGTGATTTGGAATGTTATATTAATATCCTGCTCGTCTTCACTTGCTTGCTCCACAAGTGCGGTGTTTGTCTGGGGTGCGAAGGGAACTGGTCTGGTTGTAAATTCTCTGTTGGCCTGGGGACACGGCATTTGCTAGGCCTTGACCAATGTGTGGGGACTGAACAGTGTGGAGTCCTGAGGGTCACTGATGTGAATTCTAAAAATCTAGGCTTTTTTTCTTTTTTTCTTTTTTCTGTTCTGTTCCCAAACCACCACTGCCTTTGCTGGTGTTGGGAAAACGGGAACATAGCGTACTCGGAAAAAAACGGGGGCTGGGCTGAACGACGGGCGCTGTTGGTAAATCTCATTGGCGGCCGTCGTTGTGCATCGGCCTCCTAAAGATTGGAGGCCCCACCCGCCGAGGCCGGCATGGGAAAAGGTAGTGCTTTAATTTTAAAACATCTACATTTCTCTTATGGGCAGCTTGATCTGAAATAGCAAACATCAGTGCATAGTGCTTCGTCGTGCTGTTGTTTGGTCTTGTTTTGGACTTTTAAGCTTCGGATATATTATAGAGGTTCTGCATTGCGCTTGCTTTGTTGACGTATTTAGTATGTGTGCACGTTTGGGCGTAAAGCTTTGGATTCAGAGAATTTCAGACATGTAAGCAGTTGTGCCGCGATCGAGATCCAGCTGAGATCCCGCTGCCACTCCCTTTTGTGGCGGGGGTTTGTATGTGTTAATGGTGTCTCGCTTGGTGTTGTCTGTTATCTAGCACACTGTTTGGGTACGTGTAATGTTCTTTTGCTGCATGAAAGCGTGACGGAATTGGTTTTGTGCCCTTTGGTTTTGTTCCTTTTTGCGTGCAGGTGGAATTTGAGAATGGCGTTGCGGTTGGAGTGACGTCACAGGGGGAGACGGCAAAGTTCACGAAAGCTGTTGTTGGAGACCCCAGCTACTTCACTGAGAAGGTATTTGATCATTTGATGGCTACTTTGGCTGCGAAGTGTAGGCTTAACGGAGACAGATGACCTCATTTTGGTAGTGGAATGCCCGTAGGCAAGGTAGTTTAGCTTGTGGAGAAGGTAGTGGCCATCCCTGCCGGTGTTTCATCTCCCCTTCCATGGCGTTTCGATGGTCTTTTTCAGGAAATATTGTTTTTTGTGGAGGCTTGCTCGACCGGAAAGGTCTGGCTTGATTCTGTGTGTTGGCGAGTGTCAGTGTTGGGGTGTCGTGCAGAAGGTAGTGCCCATCTCTGCTGGTGTTGTATTATGTGCTTCCATTACAGGTATAATGTTGTGCCCTGGGCAGGGATGCAGAACTACCGTCTTCGGCTGAATACAATCCCCGGTCATTAAAGCTGTATTTTGTGCACCTTTCAGTCCAGATACAGGTATAATGACGGGGTGTTGAATTTGGGTGCAGATGGTAATGGATTGGGTCCAAGCTGATGGTTCTTGAGGAGAGATTTGTCTTTTGATTCTCTGTGTTGGCACATGTCAGTGGTAAGCGGAGTCCGTGACTTGTATACGGCCGGCTTTGGGCATTTAACTTCGACGTTCCCGGCTGCAATTTTGGCATTTTCCGAACGCAAATTGTTGTTGGCAGATGTCATTGTGAAGTGGAGTACGTGACTTGTAATAGACCTTCCAGGCATTTAATGTCGATGTTCTTGGCCGCAATTTCGACATTTTTTTTAACCCAAATTGTCAGGGCTGACCGGATTCCCGCCAGTTTTTGTTGGCGGATGTCTGTGTGAAGTGGATTCCGTCACTTGTAATACCCCTTAAGGCATTTAAACCACCGGTACGTCCTAAAGTCGTGCCCGTTACCGCGGCACGAGTTTAGGAACTGTACGGACCACTACAGGAGCGCCCAAAATCATCCAACTAGAAACGTTTCGACTCTTTTTTTTTCGTTGGCCGATAGCTGGGCCAAGTACTGGCTCAAAATGTGGAAGTTGTGCCCGGACTGTCCCAAAGGAGTAGTAAAACTGCTTTGGAGAGAAGATGGGAATCCTGAACTGGCATGAGAAAACGGTCCAGCGTTCACAGGCCAGGCTTTTCTGTCTTCGTGGAAGTTATAAAGGATGATGCGTAGTGGTAGGTGGTTAAGGTTTTTTTTTTTTTTTTTTTTTGTGGGGGGGGGAAGTTGGTGCATTAGTGAGGTCCACACGTTAATTTTTGCATGTCAGTTATATCTTTGCATGTAAGGAGAGATTTTTGCGTGGTGGTGGAAGTTTTCGTATAATTATATCTTGGCATGTGATGAAAATTTGTGCATGCGTTTATAACTGCATGCATGGGACCATTTCTGTCTATGGTGAAGTTGCCTTGACATCTGTTCGGCGACATTGTCGAGTTTATTCTGTCTATGGTGAAGTTGCGTTGGCATTTGTTCAGCGAAATTGTTGAGTTTTTTGTGAATGTCTGCTTTATGCATGCCAGACTGTTTCTGTAGTGAGCTTGTTGTTTTCTTTGTAAGGTGGGACAAAGTTGCTGAGCTTCTAAAGATGACCTTAACATGGGGTGAATCGCTTTGATGCTCGCGCTGCTGCTTCAGGTGAAAGTTGTTGGGAAGGTGGTGAGAGCAATCGCCATCATGAGCCACCCGATTCCGAACACAAGCGACTCTCACTCCGTCCAGATCATCTTGCCGCAGAAGCAGCTGAACCGGAAGTCAGATATGTGAGTGCGATTCCCATCTGGCCGGACTGACTGTTGATGTATTGTTGAGTTCCTCAAAGAAGTGTAGGTCTTGTTAGTGGAGTGTCTGGTCTGAATCTTTTTGCTGCTTGGAAGTGTCTGGTCTGAATCTTTTTGCTGCTTGGAAGTGTCTGGTCTGAATCTTTTTGCTGCCCTGGCTCTTCAGTTAGATTGCTAGTCTTGTCATTGGAGAGCAGGGCCCAGTCACAAAGACCACTGCCGAAAATCTGTTCCAAGGATGGGAGCAACCGCCCCCCGGAATAGGAGGGGCGTTGTGTTTTGTTTTTCCCAAGAAAAAAAGAAAGAAAACAGAAAAGAGCCAAAGCCACTCAGTACATTCCATCCAGCATAATCGTTAGGATAATCCGGAATGCAGCATTGGCCTTGGTGACTCCTGTCTCGCATGGCTAAGGTACCTGTCCTTTGTGGATTCGTAATCTGCAGAGGGAGAGGGAAGAGCGAATGGGATTAGGGTGGGAAGAGCCTTGGTACATGTTCAGGTGGCGGCCTTAAATCGGTGGAGGGAAGTGGAAGAGCGAATGGGATTAGGGTGGGAAGAGCCTTGGTACCTGTTCAGGTGGCGGCGATGAATCGGTGGAATGCGGCATAGGATGGGAAGTTGTTTGTTTGAACACCGCCACATCTACAGGTACTTCTGTCGAGAAGAGTCGGGTTTAAACCTCTACTACCATACAAAAAAGAATTGAAGGTAATAAAGTAGGCAATGTGGTAAAACTAGTTTTTCGAGTCTGTAGATCTCAATCGAGAGGGGAAATCCAATTTGTGAACATAACCTGTAAAGGTGTGTTTAAACTCCCTTTCAGAGTGGAAGGCTAATTCGTGAGTATAACCTACACTGCCTTTTCCGGAGGCAAGGCGCTGCTGGACCAAAATGGCGACGGCAGCCAAAAGGAAAGAAAAAAGGTTGTCCTGGCACCTAGGCAAAGCTTGGTGAACAGCTCCACTCCGCCTCGTAAAAAAGAGGCTCGGAGGCACTGGTGGCTTAAGAAACGAGGTTGCCTACATGCCTGCGGCCATTTGTGGTGATTGTTGTTGTTGTCGTCACAATTTTGCAGGTCAGCTGTCATCGTCCCACTGTCTTCAATGTTCATGCTGTACTTTTGGAATGTTGGCTGGTTGTGCTTCTTGAGCGTAGTCTGGTTTTGCTTAGCATGTGTGCTGTGCTGTGTCTTTGTGACAGGTATGTCTTCTGTTGCTCGTACACCCACAATGTCGCGGCAAAGGGAAAGTACATCGCCTTCGTCTCAACAGAGTCTGAGATGGTAAGTGTCTGTTCTCCTTATCATGGCTTGTTTGTTGTTTGAATGGGATCTCTGACGAGTTTGCTGCAGAGGACATCCTCACAGGAGAGCCTGATAATCCAGTAGTCTGTATTCTAACGTGGTCTGGTTGATGGGCGCGCAGAATCTGAATGCCTGTGTGGTTGAGTGATGACTTAAGACCTCATAAATGATCTTAAGGCCGGAACATATCGAAGGCGGGATTAGCTGGGCATCAAACGCACCGAACGTATCGAAGGGGAGATTAGCAGGGGCATCAAACGCAGCGTGAACCATGTGTGGGGGTCATGACCCGATGGGCACCTGCGCTTGTACCCGGGCGGAAGTAGGGTGCCAGGCTGTTGGTGCCACCCCCTAATGGCTACCTCGTTGAAAGAAACAATCACAAAATTAGACCATAAGCCCTCCCCCCCCCCCCCCCCCCCCCCCCCCCCCCCCCCCCCCCACCCCGCCAGGCAGTAGGCGAACTGCCTGCTTAAATTCTAGACCCTAGGAAATCCCTGGTCCTGACGCTCTGTGGAACAGGCCGTGGTGATGTGCTGTGCGCTGGTGCCCCTTCTTCCTTCTTGCTGTATTGCCCGTCGAGCTCTGGATTCCTGTTGTCTTTCCTTGGAATCTCGTGAGCAAATACGCTGCTGCTGTTGTTGGTGTTGTTGCCCTTTTTCTTGTTGTTCATCCTTCTCAGCGGGGCTGGAGGCACTCGCACTGGATGGAGGCCAATGGTGAAGCGAGCACCTCTCGTTGTTTTCGGGTGTGCTTCGTCTTTCTTTTTCTATGGCGTGTGTCTGCCCTCGACTCTGGTTGGCAATGGTTTGTCACAGAGTTTATGGTCTGTTATGTGTGGGAGGACCGACTGATTTGTCTATGCCGTCTGACCGGAGGACTTGCGGGCGTGCCTTGTGACATTTTATTACAGGATGATCCCATGAAGGAGCTCCAACCGGGCGTCAACCTCCTTGGGCCGGTGGACACGATCTTCTACGACTCTTTCCTGAGATATGAACCCATTGCGGATGGAAGCCAGGACAAGTGCTTCATTTCCAAGGTTTGTTCATCCTTTGTTTTGTTGGCCTGCCTGCTATCAGTCAGCAACGGCTACTGCAGTCGCTGAAATGAAGAGTCGTCCGTAAATAAAGAATGTTCTTGCTTTCCTTTCTCTTTCTCCTCTCTTTCTCCTCTCCCTTCTTTTCCTTCTCTCCTTTCCACTGCCGCTGCCCCCCTCCCGTTTTTTTTCAGAGATTTTGTTTTTAATATTTATTTAACTATTATTTGGACCATTTCTTGATTTATACGTGTCATCCCTGTGCAGGGGCCATGCTGATCTTCTCTGTATCGTTCCAATTTCAACGGATGTGCTGAAGGACGGAAATGATCTTTTGTTCCAATTTTAACGGATGTGCCGAAGGACGGAAATGTTCTTTCTAAGTAGTCGTTAATAGTGAATTGAACTGAATTCATTTCCTAATCAGTATGATTATGGCTGAAAGTCTGAGTAGGTGTATGTTTGCAGAAATGTGCGTTTTTACTTGGTCATCTTTGAATTAGCTCCTGTCGTACAGATTCTCCTCCTCCTGCTGTCTGATATGGGAAACACTTGAGAAAAAGAGCTGCATTTACTGCCTGCTTGCCTTTCATACCGATTCTCACATCTGGCTCCACATGGACTCGAACTCATGTCTGCATTTCAACAGTTCATGGGTGTGCCAACCGGGCTCGACCGATTCTCCATCTCCTCCTGATGTATGAGATGGTAAAAAAGTCTGGAAAACTTCAGTGGGATGTAGTGTTTGGTATGGGCCTTTCAGCTGTGGTCAAGTAGCCATTCTAAAGCACAAGTACGTGCAAGCTATTGGCTGCGGACCCCTTTCGGAGGCCTGTCACCGCCGATTCATTTGATCTACAGCACACGGCCTGCTAAATTTTAGGGGAGAGGCTCAAAACAGGTTCTCCGGATGCCTGGGCCATGTACTGGTGGTTTAAGCAGCAGTACGTGCCAGCTATTGGCTGCGGACCTCTTTCAGAGGCCGGTCGATTCATTTGGTCTACAGCGCACGGCCTGCTATATTTTAGGGGACAGGCTCAAAACAGGTTCGCCGGTTGCCTGGGGCCATGTACTGGTGGTTTAACCATGCTCGAGATGGCCATCACGAGGATGATGAGCAATCAATGCCTGATTGCTTCGTGCATTGGATGTATTGTCGAATTCCAGTCTGTCCCGTCACGAGGAGGATGTTGTGCCATGCTTTATATTGTCGAGTGTAAGCTATTGGAAAATGCCTTCCGGGTGAACTCTGGCAAATGCACTGCTGAAGAAAAACCGATTCGCTTGCAATCTTACAGATGAAGTACGAGGTCAGTTTGTTGTGTGGTTGATGGTTCTGAAAATGGCGCTTTGAACTTGTCTGTCCAACTGTGCAGAGCTACGACCCCACAACCCACTTCGAGACAACCGTGCATGACGTGCTGGACCTGTACACTCGCATCACGGGCAAGGTAAGCATGTGCTCCTCAAAATTACACCGACAGGACACCGCGTGTTTTGCTCATCTTTCAGTATGGTGATACATGTGTGTGTGTGTGTGTGTGTGTGTGTGTGTGTTGTGTGTTTGTGTGTGTGTGTGTGACGAGGTATGATAATTTTGTAGTGTGTGAATGTACAATTCCAACTTCCGGGTCGCTCGATCCGCTTCACAAGATGCAAAGTGTATCTGGACATAGCCATTGTCCCTGGACATTCAAAAAGTTCGATCAGTCCAGATGTATCAGCTCCATGTGGCAGTCCAGATACCTGTTGAATGTCGAGAGTAGTTGAGCGAGGGTGGAGTGACGCTGGGATGTGCGTTTTCTGCGTGTGCTTGCAGAACATTTCCACGATCTGCACAGCGTTCCAATGATCTTGAGAAGGTCTGGGATGTGGTCTTAACAGAGTGGTTATGAGGGGAGCAGAGTAGAAGGGCAATGTTGTAGCCATCCGTGTTCGAGTGCACAACTAGTTGCCTACCATTCAGACACAGGGTAGGGAAACTTGTGTTACACCATTGTAAAGTGGACAGGCTGGTACCAAGCATGATCAATTTTCCAGTGGGGGCCTGCGGGTAAGGGTGTGGAACTGGTGCGTTTGTTGTTGCGAAGGCTGTCATGATAATGAGGACAGTGCTCCACAGTGGGCAGTTGTTTCAAAGTCAGAAGCTGTCGGGGCAGCAGATGGGAAGTTGGAGGTTGCCTGCTCAAGTACCTTACGGAACTCGAATAAAGGATAAAGTCCTCGACCAAAAAATAAAGGATAAAGTCCTCTACCAAGTATTCGTGTCCTGTGCCGTACTCATGGTTTGAGAGTCTGCATATTTTGCCCTTTTTTGACTAGATTCTGAAATGTCCTGAGAAGTGATCCACATTTTCGTGTGTGTGTGTGTGTGTGTGTGTGTGTGTGTTTGTGTGTTTGCGTGTGTGTGTGTGTGTGTGTGCGTGAGTGTGAGTGTGTGTTTGCGTGTTTGTGTGTGTGTGTGTGTGTGAGAGAGAGAGAGAGAGAGAGAGAGAGAGAGAGGATTGGTCTATGAATCCTTCGGTGTGTGATATCTTCGGGGCAAAGAAATCGCTACAAATTTGTACATGATGGGTCTCTGAACCACTTGTGTGAGTATGCTCTGACATGTGGTTTTGGTGGTTGTGTGCAGGAGCTCGATCTGAGTGAGAAGGACCTCAGTGCAGCAAGTGCTGCTGATGAGTGATAAGCATCTGCCTCCGAGGAGATGCGGGTGATGGATAAGGCCCTCATGGATTCATTCTGTTTTTTTTATTCGTTTCCGTTTTTCTTTTTAACCTGTTAAACCGACATTTGATTCTTTTGTGAGCGGTGTAAGGCGTTAAGCCAAAGCCAGTGACTCGTGGCGTTTTCTCATTTGCTGGAATCTGTTTATGTTGCATCTCAACGGCAACGTGGGTAGGGTTGTTTGGACAGCACTCACCTGTTTTTGGTTCTGGCAAGATGGTGTGCTATGGTGGAGGCTAACCGAAGAGGGGGGATGTGGATTGGGGGGGTTTGGATGGGGTAGGAGGTTGTTGGTGTGCTAGAGAGAGGTGCGCACAGAGAGAGAGAGAGAGAGAGAGAGAGAGAGAGAGAGAGAGAGAGGCAGGTGGCTGGCTGGCCTTCTGCTGTGCGAGGACGGAAGGCTGTTTGGTTTAAGATTAGGAGAACGGTAAGTGGGGACTGGGAATGTGGAAAAATGTCATGGGAGAATGACATGATGAACGCTCATGGGTGAACAGCTGGTGTTGGTGCTGGAGATGCGTGGTCGTCATCTTCCAGCACAAGATTGTTCTCTTTGGAAGCGATGCACCAAGACAATTTATGACGAGTGTGGACCTCGAAAGGATGACTGAAAGAGTGCAAGCAAGTGGCGTTTGGTATTTGCTAGTCTGTGTGTCGTTTTTTTTATATACGTATGCGTTCACGCTGATGATGGGGGCATTGAGAGCTGTGTCTCAGACTAGCCAGGAACCGGTTATCCGTCCAGGGTAGTTGATTTGCCTGGCAGGAGATCAGGCCGTCTGCTCAGCCCATCTTCTTTATTCGAGGGGATTGAGGAGTTGCAAACACAAATGACAATGGCGGCGCGGTTGGTGGATTCTTGGGTTTACCACCTCTGTTTTAGTTTTTTATCGACTTTCTATTCATTGCGGACATCTTCGCTTGGATCATTGTCGAAGTGGCTTTGCTTGAACTGTGTCGTAACTTTGCATGGATTTGGTTGACGTGATAAAGTTGATTGGTCTTTTCCTTGTGTTCTAATGATCTCTCTGCTGTCTCCCAGGGCGAGTTTAGCTCCCTCCATTCGAATGCGAGGAGTGTCTATATCTTGCTTCAGTCGATTGTCATGTTTCTTTGCCTTGTTTCTGACTCCTTCGGCGTAAAGGACAAATCAACTGTGGTGTGAGTTCGGTTTCTATACAGAGCGTAGTCAAATCTTATGTTCTGGCGAAGGGCCTCGCTCCAACACTCACCACACACGCTAAAGACAACAAAATGGCGTGGCGGCTTCTCTCTTGACTTCTCGAGGGAGATTCGTTTTCATTTTGCGGATTTGGGACTGTAGTTGTGGGTCACACCGGAATAGGAGGAATATTGCCTTTTGTAGTCGCATATGGGCCTCGCTGCACTACTCTTGAAATGCACAAAAGACAAAAATCATGGACGTGTATCTTTCCATGTTCTAGCGGAAGTTTCACTCTCGTTTTGCACATTTCGAGAGTAGTGCGGCGAGGCCCTATGTCTGCTTTGTGTTTCTATGCGCTGTCTATTTGATTCTCCTCGTGGCTTGTGTTGTTACTAACAAAAAAAAAAAAAAAAAACCTTGAATGTGCTGCCACACATGCGGAACCACATTCGGCGCAGATGGTCCGTTGATTGTCTTCGCGGGCTATTGTTTCCTCCACCCTCGTCGTCCTTCCCTGCTCCTTCGTGTTTCCTGTTGCCTTCTTCCCCACTTTCATCCCTGTCCCTGCTCTCCTCCTCCTCCGACCCTGTTCCCTGGCATTTGTGATACGTGTTAGTGGATGAGCGGGGATCGGGCCTTTTTGTTTTGTCCTTGTCTGCCAAATTGCAATGCCATGTCAGCATCTCTTTGTTTTGTTCCCGTCCTTCCTGCCCAATTCTTGCCAGCTCTCTCTCTCTCTCTCTCTCTCTCTCTCTCTCTCTCTCTCTCTCTCGCACACACACACGCACACGCACACGCACACACACTGGCACTTACTCACACACACCTCTCCCCCTGCTAACATGCGTCTGCGCACGCAGTACTGTCTGCACCATGCATGGGAGTCCCCTTGGGCTCCATCGACCACACAATGTGGCCAACACAATTGAGAACACACACACACACACACACACACAGAGGGAGAGAGAGAGAGCGAGAGAGAGAGAGGGAGGTATGGAAAAAAGTCGGCTGCTCGAGAGAGAGAGAGAGAGAGGTATGGAACAAAGTCGGCTGCTAGAGAGAGAGAGAGAGAGAGAGAGAGAGAGAGAGAGAGGTATGGAACAAAGTCGGCTGCTCGAGGGTGCATCCGGTGTGCTTTTTTTCACTGGAAAAGGAAATAACGAAAGAAACTGCAACACGAACTGTTATGTACTTGTGATGGACCATGCGCTGTGCCTGCAACGAAACTGCAAATTTCCTGGTTTCCCTTGGGGGCGTGCCTTGTCCCTGTTTTTCCGCCACGGGGAGGCTGGTCTCGTGGGAGCATCATGCGAGACCTGCTGTTTCTTTCATAAAGAGTATAGATAGTGTAGGTAACCTCGAAAGCAAAAAGGAATCACGATCAGGTTGCCCGAGTTGCAAAAGCGGGAGACGGAAGTGGAAGTGTTCGCTAAGGGCCTCGGTCCCGTACTCAAAAAATGTGCACAGATTGAGAATGAATTTTGTGTTACAGCATGGAAAGATATGTCGTCGTAGCTTGTCTTTTGTGCCCGCAGCAAGTAGTGGGGCGAGTTCCTAAGCTTGATTTTCCAGAAGTGTTTTTTTCTGTTTCAAAAAGCCAGGAAATGACAGGCTGGGTTGAAATTACCAATAGTTTTCAATTGGAAATATAAGCCTTGGGCACAGGGCCCGTGATTAATGTGGAGTGAGATTCTTGGAACTTGGGCCTCCGTTAACGGAGCTGTCGTTATAACGACGTTACTTCACAGATTCTTCGAAAAACAGCGACCAAAGCACGAACCAAAGTCAAGCCACACAACACACTTACAAATACGACAAAGACATGGCTAGGTAGGTCAGCAAGGGGGCGAAAGTAGCCCAAGTCATGAAAGAATCCCGAACGCGACGTTATCGTCGTCAAAATAACTTGAAACACAGATCCGAATGCAAGCATCCGGTTGGCGTAGCGACCCGACCGGTTTCGGCTGACCGCCAATGCCAGCACTCATCAGGGGTCTTGTCGGTAGGGAACTGATTCTGACTGGTCCTATTTAAAGAATGGGATGGACTGTAAATGCTTTCAGAAAAAACTACACGTACCTAAGAACAGCCCATTACCTATGTCACAGGTTTAAGGACAGTCAGCTATACTACGACAGATCACAAAAGGCTCACGTACCCCCAAAAAGCACGTCCGGAATCTCTGAAAAAATATACCCCACGTGACCGGTTCAAACCCGTGGGTACCCAACTTGTACCGAGTACCGATCAAAAAAATATATACCGCAGGGCACTAATTCAACATCCGTAAGTGACTAACTCGTACTCAGTACCGAAAAAAGCGATCAAAAAAACTTTTCCTTCCATTTCTCTCTTCTCACAGGTCGCCATAGCGAATCCTCATAACCCAATCTCAAAGGGTCAACGATACCACCAGCCTTTACCAAAAGCCCAGGACCACCCTTTATAGGCCCTTGGACCGACAGTCCCCATCCCAATTGGTCAGTACTGGTATCCACTGTTGTAATATCCCCCCGTTTTTCCTTGAAAAGTTGATAAGAGCATTGTCAAATATTTCATCAGGATATGATCGTTTCCACAACTCCATCTTCAGAGTAAACAGGAAAGGGACCTCCGTACCCGGAACAGAGGCAAAACGCTTGGCTCGATGCAAAAAAGAACAGACCACCGCAATCTTTTCCTGTTTATCTGAAAAAGAACAGAAGTCCTGTATGCTCTGAAAAACCAATCGATCCTTCACCGGTACCCGCTGATTCTTATGACACGGCAAACTCACCACCTTTCCTTCCTTGTTAAGGATCTTCAGCATGCAACCCAGGTACTCCCAACTGTCACCAACATTCGTCTGTTCCAGTGTCAAATTACTATCATAACTGTTCTGGAACCTACTCAGAATCTGCAAAGCTTGTGCCAAATCGGCTTCTTCTCCCTTCTGATATCTCACAAAAAACGGACACGTCATCAACTAATCGAAATCCATGGAACAAGGCCCTATCTTGATCCTAATGAAGAAAGAAACAGAAACTCGTTGTACGCACACAGCAGGCAGGCTAGAGCCGGGCTAGAAGATTTGTCCATAGGTATACCCACATTCTGTCGCAGAAGGCAGCCGGCAGCCATAACAGAAGTATTCTGAAGCTCGTAGTCTAGGAACGCAAAGATCAAACGAAAACCCAAAACCAGCCAGCCTTCTTCCCCTTGCCTTTTTACCAGTTTGGGTTCTTTTCCTCGTCTTCTCACAGCAACCCCCGTATACTCATTTTCCCAAAAATCAACAGCCCACGAAACAGCCTGCAAAATAGAGGGATAAGGGAGATTAGAAAACATTTCCTTCACATCGTACGATGCTCCTACCAACCCTTCATTCTTCTTAACACACTTGTTAACGTCCTTAATACTGTCCATCAAGTCCTCAGTGCACCTCAGATTAAGGTTAGATCCACGGGGCAAATTCCACAACATACAATTATCCGCTTTAGATATCAACTTCCCCCCAACAGCAGAGCACTCAGGAAAGGATGGACAAATTGGACTCCACCGGTCAGTGTCCTTGAATTTTGGTAGACAATAAGCTTGCCGGAATTCACCATCGGTTTTCCATTTTCCAACCGCCTCCAGTCCCTTTGGCCAGGACTTCCCGGCCATTTTTTACGGGTACATAATTTCATTAGAACACGAATAGAGTCTAGAGTTCCACCGCTAGGCTCGAAGAAAGAGTCGATCCTAGACGGTCGTAACAAGTGCTCTCCGAACCGTGCGAGATGGTCGCCCATCACACGGCTCTCCAACTCAAGTTGCCTTATTATTATATAAATAAAATAAATAAATAAGCCAGAGATGGTCGCCCATCACGCGGCTCTCCAACTCAAGTTGCCTTATTATTATATAAATAAAATAAATAAATAAGCCAGAGTGGCCTTCGCGCCCTTATTTGATTCATTCTGCCCTGTGCGTATGTATAAGTTTCCTTGTAAGTCACAGCTACTGCATCCAACACGAACCGTTCCCCATTCTCACTTACCGAAAAGGCGTTATTTTGTAAAAACAGCTTCTCCATGCCAGAGCGATAATCCACGGGACAGCATGCGTAAGTATCCCCCATATTATGATCAAGTGGGCAACACACCATTCCTTGTAGCTTCACACAGAAATGTTGCAGATCATCTTCACTGTACTCCTTACTAGAAGACGACGAACTATCAGTCAAACAGAAACCAGACCTGAGGTCACGAAAAACAGGAGTTAGATTTAAGAGGGGGGAGAGAAGAATGAGAGTGGAAGGCGTCTAAAACCTGTCTCTTTAGGGCGGCCGGAGAATTAGAACGAGAAGGTCTGAGAACATTCTTACTATTCTTAATCCAGGCAGGAAAGAGGTCCAACTCTGAGATCCGAAAAGCTACATGCCCGTCTTTTTTTGGAAGACCGGTATTAGACAACCCACACTGACAACTCGCATCACTTTTTCGTGCGTATTTATGAAAGTTATGCAAAAAATCACCAACTGTACGATTACGGCACCAGACCACCCGCATACGACGTGTCAGGGTATCCTTCCATGCCGATGGGATATTTAACTCCTGTACTAATCTCGCACCAATTTTCCTCACCTGTGACTTCTTAATATTATCATCATAAACCAGCTTGATCACCAACCGTTCTCTAATTTGCACCCCAAATCTTGCCGAAAACTTTTTGACAAAATGCACCTTAACCTCCCACGTGTCCGTTTCTCACTGAAAGTTCGCACCGCCGTAAACGCCACCACAAGGGATTCAAAAGACCACGAACGAAGAGACTGAAAGTTCGCACCTCCGTAAACGCCACCACAAGGGATTCAAATG